TTTAATCCTGGACTTGGAGGACATCTCAGCAACTGATGTTCGTATTGTGGAAGAACTTACCAAGTACTTTGGGGACAACATCTTAAAGTACACAATTCTTCTTCTGTGCCATGAGGGTAAGGAGGAAGATACAAGCTTGGAGGATAGACTCCAAAAAGATAGAAACCTCAGAGAGATTATGGACAAGTGTGGACACCAGTATCATCTGTATAACAAGAATTCTATGGGAGCTACACATTTGCTGGAGAGAATTGAGAGTTTGGTGGCTGAAAATGGGGACAGATACTTTACTGATAACAATTATAAGGAGATAGAAGATAGCATTAAAAAACAGCAATCAGTTATTGAGAATGAAAGAGCGAAAGAGATAGGTAAAAGGCTTCGTGAGCTAGACGGCATGTACCAGGGAGAGGAGCTGAAGAGGGAGAAAGACCAATATCTGAAGGGTGTCAGGGCTGCCGTTAGAGAAAAGGCTGAAATGATCATTCATGAACTCAGATTTACCGCTCAGGCTATAGATAATGCAGCAGCAGGGAATAAAGGCCTAGAGGTAAAGGTACTGGGGCCGATGGGAGCTGTTGGGGGAGGAGTATTAGGGGCAGTGCTGGGGCCGATGGGAGCTGTGTGGGGAACAATAATAGGGTCCGTGCTGGGGGTAGTGGTGGCTGGGAAATTATGGAGACGTTAGAGATGCTGCTACTGACATTGTAGAAGATTAAAAGCTGTGTTCTATTATACTGCAGTGCTGTGTTGTTCCATTTAAAAAAATGTGAAGAATCAGTTGAGTCATTGGCAAGCTAGATCAGAAAGAAACTAGAATTAATGCATCACCAAAGTAGATCTGGGAGACTGGTAGGGATTGGCTTTGTACAGACCGTGTTACCGTGTAGTTCTCTAAATGAGTAAATTGAGTTTATGGAAATTAACTGTAAATAACTTTTACATGGTAATATGTTATTGTAAGATATGATGGCTTACGGTTCTTTATGCTTGAAAATCACATTGTACATTGTGAGTTTTATTACTGAACTAGCTAGAGCTGCAAGGATTCATCGAGTAACTCGAATAACACGATTACAAAAAATCCTTGATGCAAACTCCTTGCTTCGATGCTTCATTTAACCCATTCGACTATGTACTGCCCAGTGTTTCACACGGAGGTTTATTACTGTCGCAGTGTGTTTACGCTGCGTCACGTGTAGTAGAGTGATACAAAAAACCGAGTGGAGGCAAGATGGCTGCGTAAACGGTCGTGTATTATGAGCTCCCAGCACCAGCTTCTAGTTAGATATATATATATATATATATATATACACACACACACACACACACACACAAGTACTGACTCCTTTTTTTATTGTAGGATTTTATAGAAAGCATTTAGGAACAGCACCTTCCAACAACCTTAACACAAAGACTGATTACACTGATTCCCAAAACAAAGACAAACTTTATATGGATAACTGGCATCCAATTTCTTTATTAAATAATGATTATAAGATAATGGCACTGATATTAGCTGGAAGGAAATTCAGTAATTGAATAAATACAATCTGGCTTTACGAAGAATAGACATATAACAAATAATATAAGATTGGTCTTGGACCTCTTGGATTACACAGAATTAATTAATGATGATGGATCTATTCTTTTTGTTGATTTTTATAAGGCATTTGAATCTAGAACACCTATTCATTTTGATACACTTAGGAAATTTCACTTTGGAAATTACTTTTCTGCAGCTATAGAACTCTTTATAATAATAGTAACAGCTGTGTAAATCTTGTAGGTGGGACTTCCCATAGATTTGATATATCCAGAGGAATCAGACAGGGTTTTCCAGTCTCTCCATAACTCTTTCTGTTAGTTAGTCAACTCCTTGCCTACCATATAAATGCTAGTGCTCTAAAGGGTTTATCATTAATGGGCAGAGAATTAATTATAACCCAATTAGCCAATGATACTATTTTTCTACAGGATGAAAAGCAGATTCCTATTGCTATTGAAGTAACACATGAATTTACCAAAGTGTCTGGAGCGTCCCTGAACTTATGGCTATCAAAGAATGTTGTGAACCCTGTTATTGTACATGTTGTATATTGTAAATATTGTATACTTAGGAGTAACTATAACTAAAGAACAACATAGGAGAAGTTCCCTAAATTTTAACTCTATTATTCAAAAAAGACTAAATCAATCACTGAAGGGTGGGGTTTTAATTTCAAAGGCAGAACACATTTACACCTTGAAAATGATATATGCAAAGAAGCTGACAATACAGTTTTGTATGGAACTATAGGACACTATATTAAAAAACAGTTATGAACACATGACAATGGTGAACTGAAATTTTCTTCTTTAAACAACATGCGCAAAATTATTTTTTTCTGCCGTTTCAAAATCCTAACTCTATTTGGAATGTGATTCCACTCCATATCTCATCTAAACTATTTATTCTGAATGTCCAGAAACTGTTGTTCATTTGTTTTGGAACTACCCATTTGTTAAAACTTTTTGGCAAAGTGAATGTGACTTAATTTCTATGAATATTATGGTTGATTCTGTCCTTCTATGGAAACATGTATTGTTTGGGCTCATTGAGAATCAGCAAAAATTCCCAGGAACATCTGATAAATCTTATTGTTTTCATAGCTGAGTTTAATCTTCACGAGTGTAAATGTCTTTATAGGAAACCATGTTCTCTGTATTTTAAGAAAGAAACTGAGCACTACATATGTTCAATTAGACCCTCTTCAAATAAAGCAATGAAAACTTTAACACTTTGTCTTTCATTTATTTCTTTAGAATTGTATATAGCGATCCCTAGCATGTATTTTTCTTGATATTGTATTATGCTTCTCTGCAATGTTCATTCATTACAAAATTAAAGAAAAATGAGTGGTGACACTCACATAGGGACATATTTTAAAGAAGGCGGAAGAATTTCCGGCTAATTTCCGGGTCATGGGGACTGTGAATAGTACCAAACGTTCGCCATTCACGGCATAGAATCAT